TGGAGCAGAAGTTTTCAGAGAACTAGCCACTGTGACTCCAAGGTCTTTCTTGGGTGGTAACAGCTAATTTAGATGCCTTCATTTTGTATGTATAGCTGGGATGATTTTTTCCAATATACCTTACTTTTGCACTTTTCAGTGTTGAATTTCATGCTATTTTGTTGTCCATTCACCCAGTTTGGTGAGATCCCTCTATAACTTCTCACAGTCTGCTTTTGAATGGTTTTACACATTTTAAAATCATGTTGTATTTGTTCGGATAATGGTATTTTGCATCGATGAGCAGGGAGGAACAAGAGAACCTCACAATGGGGAGTGCCCAAGAACTGGTATTGTGTAGTACTTGTGACCTTCCTGATTAGTTTATCTTGAAGCTAATGAGAATTTCCACTGGATGTCACTGTTACTCTCCACGGATGTAGTCAAAATAACATTTTACCTGTAGTGAAAATGACTCTGAAAGAGGAGATTTAAATATCTTTTGTTTGACTGGCATAATAAGAACCCAAATAAGACAACCTATACTACCCAGTTTCTTTCCATTAGTTCCTGTTTTATTCCAACTAAGCCCTCAAACGTAGTCTAATATTTTTAATATCAGACTATCCATAGTTTAAAGACTGTCAACTGTTTTCTTTCTAAATTAACATTATTTTAAAAAATTCCAGTTTTTTATAAAGTACCCTTTTAGTAGTGTCGGCTGACTAATTGTTAATTCCTTTTTTCATTTTATTTTAAGTGGGTTTTTAGCTCCTCCTTTTAGCTTCTGAGGGTCTGTCAAGTAAGGGAGAAACTTAAAAGTCAAGAAGAAATAGTGAAACTGACTAGAGGGTATTGTCAAATGGATAAAATAGACTGCAAAAAAAAAAAAACAGAAAAACCTTTTGCTCCTACTTTCAGTTACATTAATCTTGGGTGTTAATTGTAACAATAGTCAGTATAAAGGTTTCAGATAGAAATGTGATTAAGCTGATTGTGTCTCTTTTTAATATTAGCTTTTTAGAAGCTAGCTGTAATTTTATATAATTGCATATCAATTTATATTTTCCACTGGCTTATATGTTCCAAAATTGACTTGTCCAAGACCCAGCAGTACGGTACCTTTAGTAGAATGCTCTCTAGTTAGAACAGTTTTCATAAAAAGTTTCAATGTGAAGACTTTTGGAATGAAGGTTGATTTATTTCACCTGTGTCCATGGCCCCTCAAGGAGGGATAGCTCAGTAGTTTGAGCATTGGCCTGCTAAACCTAGGGTTGTGAGTTCAATCCTTGAGGGGGCCATTTAGGGATCTGGGGCAAAAATTAGTGCTTGGTCCTGCTAGTGAAGGCAGGGTGCTGGACTCCATGACCTTTCAAGGTCCCTTCTAGTTCTATGAGATAGGTATATCTCCATATATTAAGTGTGTCATTTAAGTGAGTGCTAAGAGCTGTATTGTATTCGAAAACTGCTTATCCATTCTTCTTTTAATGTTCAGTTGCTTCTCGCTATACTTTCAATGCCTGATAAGCAGATGTTGTAATAAAATATTTAATGGCACATACAGTTACTCAGTTGTGCTGAATAAACTGTTCACTTGAACTCACTAAAATAGATTAAACCTCCACAGCAGTTTCATTGTCTTTAGTGTCCTTCCCCAGAGTTCATCTGGCATGTTACCTTATAATTTAGTAGTCAGGGAGTACAGGTGTCTTTTTATGTAATGATGACACTTGACAGTGCTGAAACAATTGTGAAGCCAGTACCTATTTCATGCTTTTGATAGCATGTATTATTTTTGCAGCATTTTTTCTTTTTCATCTGCTTGAAGAATGGGCTCTTGAACCTACTTCCAGTCCCATTGTAGTCACCAGCTTACCACGTGCCCTATACATCTATTAAATACAAGATAGCTGCTGCTTTTTTTCAAAGCACAGTAAAAGGAACAAAAATAGCCCTATGACAAAATGGAAAACAATGTCGATATTTGTATTCTCCTTTTTCTTCAGTTGTGTGCAAAATTCCAGTAGACAATATTACTACTTCCAGTATCCCAGACACAAGTTGGTGGTGGTTGTTACGGAAAAGTTTGCAAGCACTTGGGCTTTTCATTAAAAACAAAAGGAGAACCAGAGAGCTCTTGCAGGCTCTCCTGAGACCCCATAATGATATTTATCACTGTAATCTGGGGGACATAGTAACAAGTTGTTAATGGCAGGTTATTTCCCAATAATGCAGCAGCAACCTGTGTCATTGTTGTACTTGCACTGAGCCAAAAGGGCTGGAAGTTGCTTCTGGAAGAACTGCCACTCACCTGGCACACAGTTATGTAGCACAGGCTCTTTCCCATCTATTTGTTTTTAAACCAAGGAGAACTTCCTTCATTTTTACAAATAATAATTTGTCTACCTTTTTTTCCCCCCTAAGCGGGGCACAAAAGAAATCCCAGAGGCCCCATTCAGATTTGGTATATTTTGAAATCTGTTAATTACTCTACACAGCCTTTGCCCTGCAAAGTACTGGTTCTGTTTCTTATACAGGCAAAACTCTCATTGAGTTCTGTTTTAGGATGTTTTGGGCAATAGTGTCATTTACAGGCTTCTGAGCATCATCTGTTCCATTTTAATCAAATCCATATTTTTAGTGTCTAATAGCTTTGCCAGAGTCTGAACAAGATGGAAATCTGGATGAAAATGCTTTGACCTACCCCAGAAAAGGAAAAGTGATGATTTTTGTTGGGGAGGGAAGATCACATAGAATAATGATTGTGCCAGCTAAATGTTGAGGCAATGGGCTCTTAAACCTTTATTTCTTGACTGTCTCTAAATGCGATGTACAAAAAAAAACTTTTATAAGTATTTTTTTTCAGGATTATTATAAGTTGAACCATTTTTTTAAAAAAAAGAAAAGCTGTCAGTTTCTTGCTTTGTTTAAAGGTAGAAGGATAACGGTTTATCGGTACACTTATTTTTCTGCTTCAACGAGTTAGCTTCTGCTAATGGGTTCTGACATGAATGTCCGTAAACATTTTAAGTGAAGATTTTGTATAATGTTAGTGTGCTTGAAGCTCAGATACACAGGAATGGGTATGGAGTAACTATAGACCAGTCAATCAAAATATAAAATTAGTTTGGTTAGTAACAGAAGAATATTTTTTGGGTTTTTTTTATGCTGATCACCTACTGGGCACATCAAATTTTTCTTTTAAGTAAACTCAGACAAATTGCAGTTCTATCAGGTTTCCTTTGGAGTTGATTAGCTTGTGCTAGAGCAAATTTATATTAGTAAACTGTCACTGTTTGGAGTGCAATCCTTGGTGGTTAAACATTCCTGGAACAGATCTAATATACAAACTGTGGAGATTCTTTGTAGGGCTCTGGTTTCCCCCTCTTCCCAACAACTTCTTTGTTTAAAATAAAGCTTGTGTACAAATGAGGTTCTGACTTTATTTGTGATCTGCCCGGATGGGCTGCTGATCCATGGACTTCAGTGGGGTTCTGCGCAGACAGTGAATTGCACCAGTGCAGGATCAGGGCCTTATTTTATATTGAGCAACAGCTGGAAGGAATGTAGGGCACCAAGCAATGCAATTAATACTTAAAACGTTTCACAATTATGCTTTTCTAACGTCAAATGCTAAGGGATGTAGAATTAATGTGGATTGTTAGGGAGCAGGGCTGTTGATTTATATATATATTTATTTTTCAGATGGAGTAAGAACTTGTCCTAGTCTTAAAATTACAGCATTGTTGTATAATGTATTCAAGTGACTCACATCAAGTAGTGCTGTGACAGAATAAACACCATTACTCAGAGAAACAGATTATTAATACTGTGGTCAGGAGTGAAGAAGGCAAGGAGTCATTAGCCACGTTCTAACTAGAGATGGGCCTGAGCAGCATGATTTCCAGCAATCCAAAGTCTGAGTGCCTGGTTCTCTGGCTTGGACATTTTGCAGTCATTTACACTAGTCCCAAGCAAGTGAAAGATGCTAACATTCTTATTTGGTTATCAATTACTGTGCAAGGTGATGGAGGATCAGGTTCTGGGGATGTCTGGATCTGGAGTTTAGGTTCAAATCCATGTTGAATTCTGATCGTTTATGTCAAGTAGTAAGCATTGGAACATTCAGCATCACTTATTCCAGCAGTTAGCTTTTATATTACAAAAAAATAGCTTTCAGTTTATTCAGCTGACACCAGTTCATTTGTATCCAAAAGGTAGATAAAGTTGTGGGGCTTGTCTCACATAAAAGATCACCTTTTAAGGAGGACGGGAGGGGGAAGTTTTAGCAAAAATGTTTTAGTTTTATGTAGTGAAATTCTCAAGCTTGCATAACAAAAACAGCTGAGATTGAAACTTCAGAGTTGACTTGTTTTTGTGAGGAGAGAGTGAGTTCAAGATCTAAACAAAATTAAAATGGCTGAACCAAACCATGCATGTTTAACTTACATGTGTATTGGAACATTTTTGCTTAATTTTACATGCTTAACTGTAGAAATCAAGTTTAGTGTAGCCAATAGATCTGAGAACAAAGCCTATTGTTCCCTGTATTATTGATATAAACCTCTCTGCTTTTTACAATGTTGGACTAAAATTGTAGGAGATGTTCATCACCATGGTAACTTGTATATTATTTATAATCATGTTTGTGTGTGTGCAAAAGTATACAAATTGTCTCCCTGGTGTCTCTCTCTTCAGGTACACTTCATATTTCTGTAGCACCTTCCATCCTAGTAGCCCATAGCTCTTCACAATCTTTAGTAACTTGAATCATGCATTACTTCCATGAGGTGTAGATATTATCCCCATATTCCAGAGGTTACTTTCCCCAAGTCACACAAGTCCATGGCAGCTTTCCTGATTTCTAGCTGTGTGCTGTTGCCTCAACACCATCAGTCCCTTTTCATAGCACAGATTCAGTTCTCCAGGACAGATCATACTTCACTGCAACCTATCCCTGAGGCAGAAATACTTCTGTTGCTTGCATTATACTAACATATAGTGTCTCTTTGTTTTCCTAGCAATCAGAAATGGATTGCGGTGATCCTCCCAAGAAAAACAAAACACAAGAATCTGCCAGGAACCAGCACCAGCAAGAGGAGGAGACAAGTCTTGCAGATACCCTAGAGCATATTGTGGGACAGTTAGATGTTCTTACTCAGGTATGAAGTGCTTTATAGGCTCATGATAATAGGTCATCTTCTGTCATCAAGTGAAATATGGACTTTTTGAAATAGATGCGTAAAGTAAAAATGTGAATAGTCTCAAAACTCAGAAGCTTATTGGTAAATCTCTGTAGAATGATGGAGAGTGTCAAATTTCTGGATTATCTAAAAAATTGTCACAATATCCTTAAAATGTTGTTTTTTATAAGTATTGGAAGGACATAAAGAAGTTTACAGTCCACAAAACCTGTAACTTAAATATAATCCCATCTCCATCTACTATTATCTTGCTTTATGGTAAAACACAAACGGCTACTAAATTCAACATCTATGGCATATGCATTGTGCCACATTCTACTGGCTTCAGTGAGAGCAGAGTTAGGCCAGTGCTGATGGCTTTTCAAAATCCCACCTTACATTTTATCCCCTTTTGTGGAGCTAATCTTAACTTTTTCAGGTAGTACTTTGGTGCTCATTAGAGAATAATGTAGGGTTGTGTGACACGAGTCCCATGGGGAGCCAGCTGAGGTCACTCAATTAGGATGAACTGCAAAGAATGGGACAGACATCCCCAAAGCTGGTGGATATTTCAATACTTAGATTTACCAAGCCAGCACTAAACAGCTTCTGTTATATCTCACTGGTTACTTAGAAGTCCAAAACATAGTTCCTTTAAAGTAACCCAGCCTCAGGCCTCCACCTAGTTACCCACGTCAGATATGATGAAGATTAATGATAATCTTATTTCATCACATAAAAAAGTTCTACCAATCCCAAAGGATCACACCCATTACTTTCCATATTAATAAATATTCCAGATCTTACCCTAATACATGCTTACAGCCAATTCTTATTAACTAAAATTTATTAAAAAAGAAAAGAGAGAGTATGGTTAACAGATCAATATACATACAGACATGAGTTCAATTCTTGAGTTTCAGATTTATAACAGAGATGATGAGCTTTGTAGTTACAAAGAGTTCTTTTAGAATTTAGTCCATAGGTTATAGTCCAATGTCCAATATCATATCAAGGGAGTACCAGCTTAACTGGGATCTCATCTTGCAACTTTAACTTCCGCTGATAAAGCTTAAGCAGATCTGAGATGATAGGATCAGGACCCAACCCATTTTTATATAGTTCAGGCCTTCTTTGACAGCTCGGAGTCCCTCGGCAAACAATAGACTCGCATTTCCTAAGCATCGCCCTTAATTATTCACACAGATTAACATAAGGCAATTGCCTGTTTTTCCACCGTTTGCAGATGATTTGCTATATATTTCAAAGAGAGATTAATACAGCGACAGCCTATGTTTACAGTTCATTTATTTCCCTTTGATATCTGAACTAACAGAATATAGCATAGATAGGGACTGTTTGATTACATTGTTGACCACTACCAATATATATGTAAACGCACAAAAACACAAACATTATCTCCCCATTTGTCTTTAAGAGTTGAATTTGAGTCATTCATCCTGCAGGACACTTAACCCTTTCTGGTCATGTGTCACAGGCGGTAGCATAAAAATCTAAATTCAGATCTAGATTATTCTATTAAAATGTATGTCAGCAGTAACCTTTGCCACAATTAATTCTTGGTCCTTTATATAAGCACTTTATGCTTTCAAAGCACTGTAAATTTTAAATTTGCAATGGTTACAAATCATATACTAAAATTAAGACCACTTTCTGTGAATTCACAATCATGTGGGGTTCCAAACATTAAAATACAATTCTTTGTGTCCTTTAAACTTTCCTTCTCCACAAGTGTGAAAGCCTGCATGGATCATGGTAGGGGTGGTCTAGTAGCATACTATTTTCTGGAAATTAAGGAAATCTATGTGTTCAATTCATATTTTTTAAAAAAACCTGGTCAGTAGATTCTACACATAGTATTCTTCAGTTTGGGGAGTGCATCGCTATCTTGCATAAGAGAATTAACTTCAGTTCTAGATCCTCAGCCTGTAAAAATCAGCGTAGCTCCATTGTCCCCTCCCCTGCTTAAATCCTACTCTTTCCCTAACTCCTTCCACATACTTCAAGTTCCCACCTGTTCCCCAACAGCTTCTGTCCTGTTTCTCTCCACCATGCTTCTCCCTTGCACATATCTGGGTCTCACCACAGCCCTGTCCTGTGGTGTGGTGTTTTAAGTTTTTAAGCATTAATTTTGTCTTAACCACATTATCTCACCCTCATCCACCACACACAACTCCTGCCTCCACTAATTCCGCACACTTCTTTAACTCCAACCACAAACATTTTAACTGTTGAAAAAATCTTAACACACTATTCTTACTTACAGTATCACTTAAATAACACTACTCTAAACATTACAATACCAGCTTCCTAAAATGATAAACAACTTAATCCCCACTGTGAACATGCAACACATCCAAATCCAACACAGCATAACAAAACATAACCAGCAACTAAAAATCAACACCACCTCCAACAAAACACCAGTTCATCACTCCAGTTAGAAAATTGTAATTTCTTAATGGTAACCATGTGGAATAGAAAGATTAAATATTGTATGTGGAGGTGCAGGGAGAAGGCATGTATTACAGGGTGGTGGATCTTGATGATATAATGCAAAGAAGATTAATTCATCGTTGTGATTTGGAAAGGCTGAGTGAGAAGATTTAACAAGTGGGTTAATAGCTATCTTAATGGTTATGTGTGGTACGGTTATTCAAGTGCACATACCTGTTCTTTAATTAAGGTATTTTTTGTCTGAGGGGGATATAAAAATAAGAGTCTGTATGCATTTATATAAATATAACAGGTTTGTCTCCCTTGTTTCTCATATTAAAAAGAAATCCTGCCCTTTTCATAGAATGCAGAGGAATTTGAATGTATCATATCATATATATAACACTAATTCTCATTCCAACTCAGTCTTCTGCTCCTGAGGAACATGAACATGATCGAAAAGTGTGGAGGTTGGGGTGGATTGTCAAAATAGTCCTAGTTTTATCTAAATATGTTGAATCTTGCAACACTTACATCTTTAGTGGAAATAGGGAGGTAAAAAACAAAAACATTTTCTTTTAAAAGAACCATAATGCTATTCAATAGAAATACAAGAAAACTATGGAGTGGGAGGTAGGGGGAGTACTTTTAGATCCTACTGCTGATCTATTTCAAACTGTTCTGGTTAGCATCTCCAATGTTGTACACATGAATAAAATGGTAGCTAGTAGTTCATACAATATTTGTGTGTTTCGCCAGTAGTAGGATTGGAATGCATTCTTTATCTTTCATTATGTAATTCTGATACACAATTCTAATTATTGTGTAATGGGCTCCATTTCTACTGTACACGTGTTTTATAGGAGGGAAAATACTGTAGTAAACACTATATGTGGGGTTTAAAATAGATCTATGCAATGCAAACATACCTTTCAAAAAGAGGTTCAGTAACTTCAGAAATTCCAAATGTTTTATTTTAGACCTAGCAGAGAGAGAGGAGTGGAGGAGGAATAAATTAGAACATAGGATAAAGTTGGAAATGAAGTCTGAAAAGATGGTAAAAATAGCTGCATTTAGGGAAAAACTTTTCCAAGCTGTACCGACACCAGAATAACACTAAAATAATTTAATGTTAATGTTTTAATCTTCACTTGACACTGGCTGTATCCTTAGGTACACCCAGCATAGTTATGTGAGAGTAGATTTGTGCATTTAATGATATTAAACAATTCCATAACTCTGCAAGCACTATGATGGTATTGTACCCCTTAGAGTGTGTGACTTTGGCTGAATGAGACAAGACAACACACAACTAAGGCTTCAGAGTGCTGCAGGTGGGAACAGTAGAAATAATTACTCTTATTAGCAAGAGGAGATGCATGTGTGGAGAATAGGAGGCCAGAGGAGGTCAGAAAGGACTGAATTTGTGCTTCTGTGGAGTCAGGCTCTCCAAAGGATTGTGGAGTTTTATCATTGCAAGTCTGGAGGACATAACTAGCCATGTTATTAGAGTTTGGTTAAATTTACCATTCCCCGAGGCCTTGGCCCTAGATCATCAGTAGCTCTGTGTATCCATGCAAGGGAGTAAAGGGGTGTAAAGTGCCTCTTCCTGTCTTGTGCAGGCTACCTGGACCATGGGTTACAACACTTGGGGAAGTAGGCTCTGCGAAGCCACCACTACTTCTCTTTCACAAAGGTGGTTGGGGACTGGGAGGAGCCTTGGTGACCAGGTAACATGACCAGTGCTGGATGTAGCCCTGAGGCAATGCCCTTCATCCAGAGCAAGAGTAAACTGGGAAGGAGATTGTGACTCTGAGTAACAGTCCTCTTCCTGAGCTGCTCTGGTGGCAGCTCATCTGCATGCTGCCCGTTGCCCAGTGAAGTGTCGATCTACCTCTTGACTGGTGCTGCATGTTTGAATTCAGATTCCAGATATAAAGACTCCTCTCTCTAAAATATATAAATGCCACTTCATTTCAAGTGGTTCTTAACAAAAAAAAGTCTGGTGTCTTCGTAAAATAAAAGGTACACAAAGGGTCTACTTGGAAAAAGACCAGGAGTATGTTAGCTGTCTCTTTGGTATCTTATAATGAACCGTTTAATTCATATGCCTGAATAGCACCAGTTAGAAAAGCTTTTACTTTCATAAGCAGAACCACGCATTTAAGAAAACAAGACAGGCTTCCGCTGTGATATTTCCACATACTATATATTTGCACATTTGTCCCAGTTTTCCCAGGCATTTTAATTGTTTAGCATCGAGGGAGCGTTAGTATATTTCTAATATACTATCTTGAGAGGATTGGAATAAAACTGTGATCATGATGTTCTTTTGTTCCCATTGAATTTACTCAGCTCTAACCTTTTAATTAACATAATGTGGGGAACACATTGTAGTTGTGATAAACTACTTTGGTTAGAAATTATGCAAACATCACAGTGATCTCCTATTAATTTTCGAATGTCTCTTTTTACTTAGTCCATCACTTAAATGATTTATAATGTTATATCCTAAACAGTAT